GCGCCTAATATACATATTCTCCGTTACAAATAGCCAACACATGTCTTTCCTGCTCATTGCCTCTCGATCGAGGATGTGTCTGATGAAAAGTTGTGGTATCACGACATCAAAAGGTACCTTGAGAAGCAAGAGTATCCAGAGAATGCTATAATTTGTGATAAGTGTATGCTTAGAAGGTTAGAATCCAAGTTCCTCTTATCGGGAGACGTCCTGTATAAGAGAAATTATAACTCAGTTCTGCTCAGATGCATGGATAGACACGAGGCAGAGTCAATCATAAAGTAAATCCATGAGGGTTCTTTCAGGACTCATTCAAGCGGGCATTCTATGGCGAAGAAAATCCTACGTGCAGGGTATTTCTTGATGACAATAGAGAGTGACTGGTGTGTATATGAAAAGTTGTGCCAGAAATGCCAGGTGTGTGTAGACAAAATTCATGTTCCTCTAACTCCTTTGAATGTTATGACTTCACCATGGTTGTTCACAATGTGGGGTATTGACATGATTGGAAGGATTGAGCCAAGCGCTTCAAATGGTCGTAGGTCCATTCTCGTGGCTATTAACTATTTCACCAAATGGGTGGAAGCAGCTTCTTACAAGAATGTAACCAAACAGGTCGTTACCAACTTCATCGAGAAAGAAATCATATGTCGTTATCGAACTCCTCACAGAATCATCACTGATAATAGTTCTAATCTCAACAACAACTGATGAAGGAGTTGTGTGAAGAGTTCAAGATTGAACATCACAATTCATCACTGTACCGACCAAATATGAACGGTGCAGTCAAAGCTGCTAACAAGAACATAAAGAAAATCGTCTAGAAGATAGTCATAACATACAAAGATTGGCATGAAATGTTGCCTTTTTCTCTGCATGGCTATAAAACATATGTGCATACTTCAACAGGAGCAAATCCATTTTCTTTTGTCTATAGTACAGACGCAGTACTTCCTGTCGAAGTGGAGATCCCTTCGTTGAGGGTTTTGATGGAAACCCATCTTGATGAGGCAGAGTGGGTTAAGACAAGACTTGACCAACTCAATTTGATTGACAAAAAACTTCTGGAAGCCATCTGTCATGGCTAGCTGTACCAACAATGGATGAAGAGAGCATTTGACAAGAAGATCCTCATAAGTTTTATCCCGGTGATCTGGTCTTGAGAAAGATTATCGTGCAAAGCCATTTCGATCCAAGGGGAAAATGGACTCCCAACTAAGAGGGACCATATATCATGAAGAGAGCCTTTTCAGGAGGTGCTTTAATCCTGACAGACATGGATGGGGAAGACGTTCCACTTTCAGTCAATTCAGACTCAGTCAAAAAATACTACACATAAAGAGACCCGCTAAGTCGAACCCGTAAGGGCAACTTAGGCAAAAATGGACATCTCGGTGGACATAAAAAGAAAGTCCAGGCAAAAGTTAGGGATAAAATTAGGAAGAAAAAAAGATAATAACCCGCTAAGTCGAAGACCCGAAAGGGAGACTTAGGCAAAAATGGGTATCCTGTTGGATCGAAAACCCGAAAGAGCGGTCCAAGCAAAAGTTAGGGATCATGAGCGGGAGGTTTTAGTTTGGATACTCTTAAAGAATAAAACATGAACATATAAAGCACCCTAGAAATGAATTGATCGGTCCAACTGTTATTCTTTATAGGCAAGGCATTGAGACTACTAAGGATATGGGAACTGTAGCAATACCAGTTTCAATGGAAATTCGAGCATCTCTCATTGCCATTTTTACCTATTGTATTTTTCGTTTCTTTTTCCCAACTACCTCATATAGTAATTGCATCCTTGTACAAATTCCTACTCATAGGCCAATTGTTAACCAATAAAAATTGTTTTCATCAAAAAGCTATATTTTATTACCATAAAAAAAATTTCGTACGCGACATGTGTTTTATTCGTTATTAAGCATTGCATTAGAAACATGTGGAATAAAAATTTCCAAGCTAAAATAAAACTTAAATTTAAGTTGATGTACAACCAAGAGAGAGTGTCATATGCATTCCAAGTGTTTTTTTTCTTTGCAGGTAGCAACGAATGACGGTCACCCTGACCTGGCCAGCGCGCGAGGCCACCTTCATCTTCTATGGAAAATTTTAAACCTGATTCCCCAAGTGAATTTAGAAAGTCCCGATTCATTGTTTGACTTGGCGCGCGCAAGTGAACATCCCGGAGAGCTAAATCGGGGCATTCGCAGGTGTCCATGTGCATCTTTTTATCCCTAAGTGATTTAAGAGGTAATCCCCTAGTGTGGCGTAAAATTGAGGCATGCATTTGAAGAGATCCACATGGTGTTCAGTATCCGTTTCTCGGCATATTCAGTCCTACCATCATCTCAACGGTTCAGGGTGTAGAGAAGTCATGCCAGATTATCTCTTCCCTAAGAATACAATTCAGAATTCAGTAGTGTACCTGTAAACTCGCTTCGTCAGCAATTCAATCTCCAGCAGAGTCACCAATAATCTTCTCTATCATGAGCTCCCCAGTGTAAATTCTTATCAATATCCCCAATGATCTTTGGTAGTATGAGTTTCCAGCTCTAGTTCTTATTGGCATCCCTGGTGATAAATAACGGTTCCCAACGAGCCTCTATTTATCCCCATGAAGTCTATTTCTTTGCATTGCATATAGTTGTCACTGCATAACATTGCATCTTCAAAAGTGCGTAGCCGATCCATCATAATAGATCTTTGCGGAAAAAGAAATTCAAATGTGCATATGAAGCATAAGCCAACTTGAGTACCTTACACGAAAGACCCATTTCATTCAAAGACAGAAAGACATCCCCACAATAGGATATCACTACCAAACCCTCAATTGACATCCTTCATCACATCACCATACCAAGCTAATTGTGTCAGTACCTTGTACTTTCAAACACTCGTTTGTGTCAGTTTTCTAAACGTCCGTGTCAATTTTCTAAACACTCGTCTGTATCAGTTTTCTAAACACTCGTCCGTGTCAGTTTCCTAAACACTCATCGGTGTCATTTTCTCAAACACTCATCTGTGTCAGTGTCCTAAAATACTCGTCGCCGTGTCAGTTTTCCAAACACTCGTTTGTGTCAGCTTTTCCAAACACTCGTCTGTGTCTATTTTCCCTCCAGATCCCAATAAAATCAGTATAGTCAATCTTCCCTTGTACATTCATTCGTCATGTGGTAATCAATGTTCTCACCCTCTTAGGATCGTAGGTCGTCCATAGATCTAGCTCTCATCTTATAGATCGTCCGTAGGTCTCCCCTAGCAGATTGGCCGTAGGTCTCGCTTTAGGATTGTAGCTCGTCCGTAGATCTAACTCTCCTCTTATAGATCGCACGTAGGTCTCCCCTAGAATATTGCTCGTAGGTCTCGCTTTAGGATTGTAGGTCGTCCGTAGATCTAACTCTCCTCTTATAGATCACCTGTAGGTCTCCCCTATAAGATCGCCCGTAGGTCTCGTTTTAGGATTGTAGGTTGTTCGTAGATCTTATCTGTCGGATTTTCGTACCAATCTTTGTCTTGTATTGAAATCACCGCCACGTTACAAGTCCAATCTTTGTCTTATATTGGAATTATTGCCATGTTACGAGTCGACTTTCCACTTGTATTGGCATCACTGACACATTACAAGTCCAATCTTTGTCTTGTATTAGCGTTGTTGATACGTTACAAGTCAGCATTTCTCTTGTATTAACCTTTGTTGCTACGTTATAACTCCAATCTCCGCCTTGTATTAGCATCGTCGTTACGTTGTAAGTTACCCTTTAAACCCCTCTCACTAGAAAAAACAAAAAATTTCTTTCCCCGACAGATATCACAAAAATAAATAACACTCACACTCTCTCTCAGAACAAATTTTTGGCGTTGGTATTTAATCATCTTCTACCTCGAACGTATGAAAGACACGCACCAATCGTACTTTCAGGTTTAAGACGATTAAATAGGGGTAGTTGTCATATCCCAAATTTTTCCCACCCCTTATTAAATCACATGGCTTGTGCATTTCACTCTCCTCATATGCATTATCCTCTGTTAGGTCATATAACATTGCATGCATTCACTAACAACGAGGCTTAGTATTTGAACTCCATGGTTATGGAAATTAGGGTTCACTTGTGAGTTCAGGTTTCTCTATAAAATATTTTATAGGGTTCATTCAACTAAAGACTCAAGGATCATGGACTAGGGTTGTCCTTCAAACATGGTTATCTGATAAATATTCAAAGGCTTAATTACACATTATTCAAAACTCCTATTCTCAACATTTTTTGGCATTGTTCAACACATAAAGTGGCTTCAAGGGTGCTTGCAACACAAGTTATCCTACAATGTAACTCAAGAATTAAAGGGCATCTTCTTCGGCCTATCATCATCACCGCTTAGTTAAGATTCATTTCTCTAATCATGTGGTATTCAAGAGTGGTTCTTTTATGAAGTTTGCTCATCAGTGAATCCTATCACCCAATAGATTCTACCCTTACTTGAGGATTTATTCAAACTCTGCATTGTGGATTCCATTAAACACAAAATTAAAAGGGAGTTGAAATTCATAAAAAGGCATCTAAAGGAGGTATTAGAAGAAATAACTTGGAATTTTCAATTTGGAAAAGAATATTACTTTGAATATTTGAAAAAATTCTCATATGAGTTCAAAGTTAACAAAGGGAAAGATCAATACACTTATTCATGTGAGTTCAAAATTTTACGAGGGGGTATTTACATTAAAATCATCACCCTTCTTTCAAATACTTGGCGCCAACAATTGGATTCGGGTTTGAGATTGACTTTTATATTTTTTCATTGAGGATAATTTGAGTTGTTCATCCAAAGTTCAAATTGGGATCAAAAGTTGTCAATGTTTCTTGAAACTTGCGAAGGTGAAGAGTCGATACATTCAAACTGCATAATTGCATTTCAACCTCATTTCATCGAATTTCAATCATACTACATTGCCAAGTTTCAAATACATTATAAAGAAAGTACATCAAAATTCATCCTAAATCTAATCTTCAATCTTCTCTAAACTTCATGCTTCCTTCCATGACAAGTTGACAAGTTTTATGCCTTAAACCCTTGTAATACTCTACCTTCTTCAACCATGTTCGAACTAAGCCAAATATCATACCATTGCAATTACTTATTGACAACGCTAGGAAAATCCACTTGTACCATGCCAAAACTATCTTGATCATGCCATGAACCTGCGTAGCACACATCAGTTAACAACTAAAATCCGGTTCAGAAAATAAAGCAAACATCATCAAAGTCATTGCAGCCCATTAAAGCTCTAACCCCACTGGCATTTTTAGAAAAAAATAACTTACAGGTATCAACCTCCTAATCTAACAAATTCACTTTCTAACTATCCATGGCTTTCCTAACATAATACCGATTCATTTTACCACTCAATAAAACATTTCATCTAATAAACCAGTTCAAACCTTACATCAGAACCAGCTCACACAAAATCAAGAATTCAATGCTAAAACCTGCCCCGCATACAGCCACGACCCTGCATCAATTAAAATCATAAAAAAACCAATTCAACAATTAAAACCAACTCATGCATTCAACTGCAGCCCCGCGACACAATCCAGATCAGAGAAAATTATAATTCAAATATCCAAAGTTAAGCAAAACAATTACCTTACACCAGTTCAAACAGAAAAATCAAATAAACAGAAACAGTTCACTAAACTAATAAACAAGCTAACTGAAAACTAACCACACTCAACCCCATTCTTTCAAACTAACTCATTTAAATTTGAACCTCTTCCAAATCCCGAACCTAAGCTTCTAACTAATCCGAACCAAAGCTTCAGTTCATCCAAACCTGTGTAACCCACTCCGAAGCAAACTAACTAACATTTTATTTTTACTAACATACACTTCATTTCAACTAACATTCACTAACTTCTACACAAGCTAACATTTTTTAACTGAAAATCTGCCAACTAAAAACTAACCGAAAAAACAGTTACGACCAAAATTTGACACCTCACCAATCAACCTTCAAACTAATTCTAACCTTCTAACTGAATTCAACTTCTCTAACTAACTCTCTAACCGACTCCGATCTCACCCTCTATTTCATTACAAAAAATCAAAATCAACAACTCAGATCAATGGCTGAGATCTTCTCAAGCTCTAACTGATCCTCCTAGCCTTATCACCTATAAAAAACTCTTTCCTCCTCCATTCACAAGGTGGAAGCACCTTTTTTTTCTTTTCCAGCTTCACACACACTCCATTCTTCACTTCTGAAAAACAGATAGAGCGGTTTATGGTGGTGAATCGGATAAGGAGAAGAACAATGGCGGTGAGTAGAAGTTCTGCGGCGGTGATAAGTGCATAAGAAGATTGAAGATGATGAGGTTATTTCTAACGCTGTATGGAAGAAGAGATGAGGCGATCGGAGTAGCCATGGCTGCGGAAGAAGAGTTGGTGTTGTTTAGGGTGGAATTGGCAAGGAGGAAGGTGACGATCGGAGAGGAGGTTTATGCGTTGCTGTTGTTTCGCAGGAGAAGAGAAAATCATAAATGCTGCTGAACCCTAATCCCTTTTCAAATTTACATCGTACAACCTTTTTTTTATATCTTTGTTTATTTAATTCAAATTAAATAAAGATTAATCTCATAATTGTGATAATAATAAGATCTGTGTCGAAAATAATCTTGCTGAGTCTATGGTTTCTTTTTTGGTGTTGTTGAACACCTTTGGTATAAAAAATGCTTCATGGATCTTGTTTCTGATGGGCCTAGAACCCTTTACTTCTGCACTACACTTCTGATCCAGCCTTACACCCGCCTATTCTTCTTTTCTTTGTTGGATTTAAGACTTTTTCTTTGATTTTTCCTATGACAAAATTGTAAAAATCAATAAAACATGTTAGATCTTCTTAGTTGATTTTAGGAATTTATTCTTTAGTTTTTGATAGAATTTTCCTCACATAAAAAACTAATAAAAATACTTTTTCTTTTAGTTTTTTTACCATATTTTTACACTGTTTTGTCTTGTTATTTTTGACGCGTTTGTTCATTGTGCAAGGTACGTTTTGGTGCTTTCGATCATGTAACATAACAATTGTTATGTGATCGAGACATATGGCTTATGCACACTTTCGATGTGACACGCCTTATTTCTCATCGTCATGAGAAATTCATATTATATTATATGTTGTCCGGATGCATGCGATATTTTGTGATACTTTGCGCATGAACTTCTGATTACGCGTTGCATTCACAACATGCGTGTGTTTTTATCTTAGTTGGATATCGTTTCTGACTTTGTTTGTTTCTTGGTGAAGCTTGTTGGACGCGTACTCCTTGCTTCTCCATTGCTTTCGTTCGCTTTTGACGCTCCGCTTGATTTTGGTAGTCGCCGCTACATCTTTTACATTTTCCTGCATTTTATCACATTTCTTTATCGCTTTTCTAGATATCATGAGAAGTAGGAAATAATGAGTGTGCACTCAAAGTCACTGTTAAAAGACCTGTAGTAGGCATTCCGCACTTGTTTGCTAATTGTGCTTGTGTTTTCTTTCATCTTTTGACGGCTTATGATGTCACTCAATTTTGAGATAACGACTTCGGATTTTGCATTATCCCTATAGGCTTTTATTGACTTCTTTAATTGACGATCGATGATGCCACTCAATTAGAATTGAGATAATGACTTCAATATTTGCATGCTCCCTTAGGATTCTATCTTTTTCCTTAGTTGATGATCGATGATGTCACTCAATTAGAATTGAGATAACAACTTCGATCTTTGCATGTTCCCATAGGATTTTATCGTTTTCCTTTGTTGGCGATCGATGATGTCACTCAATTAGAATTGAGATAACGACTTCGATCACTTTTCATGTTCCCTATAGGATAGTTATCCTCACCCTTAGGTATTTTGCATGCTAACGTAGGTAGATGTTTCCCTCTTAGCATGTTTATTCTCTCTTTTGCATATGCATTAAAACTAAAACCTTTTTTTCTTGGCAAATCATAAAACATCTTAATCATGCTTAAACCCTTTTTCAAGGTAACAAAACACAAACCAATCAAATGTGGCATCTTGCCTTGAGGGAGTAACTCAAAATTGTTTTCACAAGGGTTCGTCACCCATAAAAAACACAAAACAAACAGAAACATGTGAGCCAAACTACAATGCTCTGATTCTTCGAAAGGAATACGAAGGCAATAGGTCGTGGGGCCTAACTGAGCAAAATTCGTAAATACTTCCTTCTTTTCACCGCATTTCTTTTGCATGCATTCTTCCTCAGTAGTAAGCATGAGGGATAGATTACACACCCATAAGATAGATAACAAGAGTGGATACCATAGAGTACTACGGGCGTGTGGGGTGCTAATACATTCCCCTCGCATAACAGACTCCCTTACCCGATCTCTTGGTCGCAAGACCGTGACTTCTTTATTCTCAGGTTTTCTCGAGGTTCACCTTTCCCTTCATGTGGGATAAAAGATGTTGGATGGAGACTTCATTGTTTGATGATGTTTATTCGGTTGTTTCACCGAGGAGGTCCGAAAAGAAGTCAAGATTGGGGAAGCATTATAAGACACTGTCAAGCAAAGATTGACTGAAATGCCCCGGGAGTATGTGGACATCTTTGCTTGGTCTCATGAAGACATGAGTGGGATGGATACATATATTGTTGTGCACAAGATTCCTCTTAGAGAAGAATTTCCTCTGGTCAAACAAAAGCTTCGAAGAACTCATCCAGAGATGTCTAAAAAGATTAAAGTGGAGGTTCAGAAACAGTTTGATGCAGGTTTCTTGAAAGTTATCTCTTATCTGTCATGGGTTGCAAACATTGAGCCAGGGCCAAAGAAAGATGGTAAAGTCAAAATGTGTGTTGATTATAGGGACTTGAATAAAGCAAGCCATAAAGACGATTTTCCGCTTCCTCATATTGATATTATTGTTGACAATACTGCTCAACCCAAAGTGTTTTCCTTCATCGATGGTTTTTCTGGCCATAAGCAGATCAAGATGGAACCAAAAGACTGTTTACCTTGGGATTTGGTAAACAACCGCTGATCCTCCAAATGGTTACTTATTTGGTTACTCGCAGGATCGATCAGATTGATCCTAGGACATAGGTTGATTTTGAAGTTTTGATTAAATTGGATAAGGCTTTAAATAAAGAGGTTTCAAGTAAATTGCATGAAGAAAGGACTTGGTAAAATAAACAAGGCTTAAAGTAAAAGGCTTCGACAGGAATGTAAAGAGGAAAGCAAGTAAATTTCTGGAAAAGTAAATGACTTTGATTAATAAAATTGGTGTTTCACACATACATTTCTCAACAATTCTTTCTCACACGCTGGGTACTCGAATCTATATGAGTGACTTTGTATAGAATTGTGAACACACGCGAGAAACTACATGTCTACTACTATTTATACTAAAACATCCCAAGTAACCGTCGGGCAGTTACACTGCTTCGAGATCAATCCACTTGGCACGTTCTCCACGTTCGACGCTCCAGATCCTTGCACGTTTGCACGTGGTAACTGCTGGAAACCGTTTTCCCTCCAAAAGCTTGAATTTCAAACTGCTCCACTCTGAACCATCGAACACTTTCGTCAAGAGACATCTTCGACGAGAAACTCCTTCGACGTCGAAGGCAACCAACTTCTCCCTTGGAAGAAATCTTCTAAATACTTTGCCATCTTTCGACGGGCATTTCGACAGACTTAGCCAGTCGAAAACATCCTTCAGCTTTAATGGCTGACATCAACAAAACAAAGGTGTCGAATTTAGGAGCCAACAAATTGCCCCCCAAGAATGCCTTATTTCGACTCTGAAAGAAAAAGGCATTCTTTGAAACGCCATTCGACACCTGTCTTTTCACGCTTAGTCACAAATTAACTTGTGCACTTTTTGTTGTTTTCTACCAACTATTGGCAATCCCAAGAAAACCATCATTTATCCGTACCTAGGACGTCACTTTCAGTACGGCGTGCAGTACCAAATGTCATTTCAGAATTTGTCATTATGACAATTCCCAAAAACGAGGACGCACGCTGCGTCCCTCTATTTCTGCAGAACGGCTAAAACAACAGGGGGCTGCCACGCGTCCCACTAACTCCTGCAATAATTAAATGGCATTTAATGTCCTCGGTTTTGGGGATTTTCCCCCACTACTATAAATAGCAGTAAGTACCCCATTGTGGGACTTTTTACGCCATCTAGCTCTCAAACTTCTCTGTTTTCATACAACTTGTCATCTTTGCAAAAACATTTCCTCCTTCACTTCGTCTTCAACCTCAACTCTAACAATGGCATCTGCTTCCAATGCTCCTGGCGCTACTGTACCATCTGAAAATGCTAAACCCAAGGTTTTCGTCACTGCTCCGGTAGTAACTTCTACAGGCAAACGAAGGGTTCCTGAACCCTTGGACATCGCCGTTCGCGATGCCTACTCACGCCATCTTATGATCCCGGTTGGATACTCCAACCAGATCTTTGCAATGTATGGCCCCATGTATCCAAGTATCTCTGAGGCTATGAAGATCAAGAGCTATTTCCCGGTAGTTGAGAAACTCAAACCGGTCGCATGCGCCAAGAAAGACGCAGAAGACAATGAAGACCCTGCACATGAAAAAATCGACCTCCGTTTCTTCAACAGAGGTGTTAGGGCCTTCAGGTCTTGCCCTAGCCTTACCCCTGATTACGTTGCTTGGCTAGCAAAGATGGAGAAGCACCAAACTTCGATCTGGAAGGATATGGGGATTTTCGACCTGGTGATGCTGTCGAAGACAGGTTTGAACTATTCTCCGGAGATGCTGATAGCTTCTCTGCTGTTCTGGGACTACTCCCACTTTACTTTCCATCTTCCCTGTGGGATGCTAACCCCCACACTCTTCGATGTGGCCGCTATTACTGGCCTTCGACCCACCGGAGACTACTTTGATCCGGAAGAGATGTCGGAAGATCAAATTGGCTTCTCTGACACCAAACCAACATACACCACTTTCATCAACCACTATCACGACAGGTTGACAGATGCTGTGTCGGATGTCGAACACATAGCGTTTTTAGCCTTATGGCTGACTCGCTTTGTATTTTGCTCGAAGTCTTTACAGGTGACCAAAAAGATGGTCACTCTTGCTACTCAACTGCATCATCGCCAAAACATCTGTTTAGCAGAACTGATTCTGGCTAGCCTCTATGATTCGATCAGCAATGGGGCAACTCTTCTAAAAATTATCAAGAACAGGGCCAGTTTGCTACTTGCTGGGCCTTTTTGGCTGCTTCAACTGTGGCTCAATGCCACTTTCGAATCTTTCTTGCCTAAGAAGGTTCAGATAAATGAGCAGGCTCCAGAGATAGCGAACAGACGCGTCGAAGGAACCAGGCTGGCTCTGTTGACACCTATGGAAGATGGACTGGAGTTTCAGCAAACCTTCACCAACTTTGTTCTGATGTTTTCTCGAAGGAAAGAGTTTGTTTCAACTATGGCTCCATTTGCTCGACGGCAGGTAGGCCCAGCATGGTTCACAAGGCCACATCCAAGGACGTCGAGTGGTCCTAAT